TCCAGTAGTGAGCAGCAAATTATAGCTCAGAAACTCACCGTTAAGCCTAGTTCGCATTAAGCTAGTATTTTAGTCTAGTAGCGAGTAATTTAGTAACTAAACGTGTCTGAACACTAAAAATTTAGTCGATTAGTTTAGTAAGTAATTTAGTCGAGTCAATCCACTTTATTCTATTTTTTTGGGCAAATTGCAGCCCCCACCACGCGTCCGAGTTCACTGGTTCACCGGCTAAACAAGTACGAACCTAGGGATGGGACATTTCACGAGTAGCAAGTGAAAATTCACGTGAAATGCGTAATCACGCGTCACACCTGCTACTTAAATTCATAGTGGCTGCTACAAATCACAACTTGGTGAAATCTAGAGCTGTAGCAAACCGTATGTATTCGTTACTGAGTAACGGGTACGCCATCTAGTACCGAGTACCTAAACGTTACTCACGAATGCATTTCGTTACTCGCATTTTCCGTATACATTTTCGTACTGATGTTTTTATTGATTTTTTATTCAACAAAATACAATTTTCAGTTAATACCGTTGATCAGTAAATTGGGGAGTTTATTTATTTCGAGTTGCATGATTTCGGATTCTTAGAAATATTGTTTAGAAATAATTTTAAATTAGAAACAACAATTAAATTTAGAGCACATTTTTAGTTTTTTATCCAACAAATACTTATAATTTTTACTGAATGATTATGTGTAATACGTACAGACATAACCACCAACGCTGAGAACGAGCTAGAAATGTTTATTAATGAACCAGTGCTTCCGCGCGATTCTTCGTCATTAGTTTGGTGGAAATCTCACTCCTATATGTACCCCAATTTGGCGGAAATATTTCATGAGCACTGTCACATCTTGGTGACATCAGTGGAGTGTGAGAGAGTATTTTCAAAAGCGGGAAATTTTGCAACCCAAAAAAAGGCACGATTAAGCAGAAAACGAACAGCGGAACTTGTATTTTTAAAAAGCAATGAAGACTATTGTATATAGATATCTCATAAAAAAATCAATCATCAAAAAAATCAAAAAGCAAAAAAAATGATTATAAACAAGTTAAAAAAATTAAGAAAAACAAAAAAAAAGTGTATAAAATTCTTTTATAAAAATTCTTATTGTACATAAAAACAATGAACTTTTAAATACGCCAATGTAATTATGGAACTTAGCTTAATACAATTTTACCGTGTGATTACTCTGATATATTTAAAATTCATTTAATTTTACATTGTCAGTCCCAAGCCTGTAGAAGTATGAGGGAAAGTTCATTGTTTGAAAATAGGTTCATTCAAAGCACCATGTACGTATGCAACTACGTCAGATCTATATCTCTGCTCCATATCACATCAGTAGCGCCATTGGTGACATTTCATACTTCATTTTAATAGCAAATAATATAAAGTGTGACACCAGACCGTCGAAATCAAAAATCTATGCGTGAAAAGTAGCAGGTGAAATCACGTGAAAAATTGTTGTAATTTCATCACGTGATAATGATTTAAAAGTAGCAATCATTTCCATGCTTATACGAACCTGTCGTATTAGTCGAGTTTATTAGTTGCCGCCATAACATTCATTAACAGAAAATATACACAACTTTCGGACATTCTCAAACTATCGAAGTATTCTTTGGGATCTTCCAATGCTAATTCCTTCAGAAGACAATTAGTAGCTCCTAGTTTATCTTGTCTTTCGATCCATTTTCGTACCCATAGCTTCTTTTTATTAATCACACAAATTTCCTCATCCACCTCTTCTAAAATAGCCGTTACGATCAGCTTAATCAGTTTATTTACTTTATTGCGTTGTAGGCTGTTCATCTTGCAAAACACCACTCACTTGTAAACTGTACTCGACCAAAGTGCGAACGATTTTTGGTGAGTAGCGAGTAATTTAGCTACTAAATTACTCGCTACTAGACTAAAATACTAGCTTATTGCGAACTAGGCTTTACAGCACTAGCGTAGCAAGTAGATGTGATGTGAAGTTAGTAGTTTTTAACGGAGTGACGTGTGCTGAATTATTACTTGAAAATAATATATAATTATATTGCTGTTTGCCTATGCTAGAACTATTTAGAAAAGTGCGCCACAGCAAAGCGGAAATCTTTCTTTCCTTGTTTAATTCACCTTCTTACTTTTATGACGTTATGTTTTAAACTAGCGATTTACCTTCGCCTCACTCGGGTTCGTCCCTGGATACTTTTTTTTGAGCGGAACTCTAATTCTTTTTTTTAAATAAAAGTAGCCTATATTACTCCCTATAACATCAGTTACCTTCCACTGAAAGTCCGTCAAAAACAGTCCAGCCGTTTCAGAGATTATTCGGAACAAACAGACAGACAAAAAAAATTAAAAATTAGTTTTTCTTATAAGTACCGTATATAATTTCATATGCATTTAGTAAAAAGGTTTATTTTGACATTACAAACAGACACTACAATTTTATTTATCTGTATAGATGTATAGATTCATATACTTGTTTTCTGTGGCGCCACCAATTTAATGCTTGTCAGCGGTCACTTTTTATACGAGAAATAGTTCTCCTTAGTTCTACCCTCCATATCTCGTTGGTACAGACACAGCATGGCATGTCAAGTCAGCCTTAAGCCACAGATCCTTGAGACAGACAGACAGAAGGACTGCCTCAAACCGCGATATTGCCTGTCCTGTGTTTTAATATTTTAATAATTTTACCTATTAAAACGCAGTATTAGGGAATAATATTTGACTTTAAGTATCTTAGGTAGTATGAATTGGATGGAGCAAACTAACTAATATGCAGTAAAATTTATAAATATTGTAAACTAAATGGTCTTTTACAAGCAACGACAAAACATCCTACAAGTTAAACTGCAGTAAAGTTATTAAATACTGCATGTCTTTTAGTTTTTCACAAGAAATTACAAAATCCCCCACAAGTTAATGTGCAGTATGGAATGTTAATACTGCACTTTAATTAGGAATATAAATAAAAAATATTTTTTCTTAACCTTTGCAGTATAATCAATTTGTATAGAGTCGAATAATACTGCATTTTAATAAGTTTTTTCTTGAATTTCCTAGAACAAACTACTATTTTAAGTGCCACAAAATATGATAAAACACTGCAGTTTAGTTAGGAAACAGAGAAAAATCTTATGCAGTATTAATTGTACTGCGGTTTAGCTGGTAAACATGGAATATTTTAACAGATTTGTGATATTTTTGCTGTTACACCTTCCGAAAAAACATTAAAATAAAATACTTTTATTAGCGCTACAGAAAAAAGAATTAATTTGACTGATAGCTACTAAAATGGGGATTTAGAATATATATTTAACTCAAAACCGACCAAAATGTCTATTACTGCACTTTAGGCTCAGGTGGGCAGAATTGTAAGCACTGATGAATCATACATTGACTCACTTTTTCATATTTTGTTCACAAAAGCATTTGTTTGAATTAAGATTTTGCCATTGTTTTTTGTTTTTAATTTTAAGATTAATTGTACAGTAATTAGAGTAAGGTGGTTGATTATATAATACAAAACATTTTTTTTAAACAGAAAATAAATTGTTTTATTAACCGACTTCAAAGAAAAAGTTATCAATACTACATGTATGTATGTAATATTATTGGAACAAAATATTCACATATGAAACTCCACAAATGTACAAAATTTTATAGGTAAAATTTTATAGGTGTATGTATGTTTGTATGTTTGTCCACTCATTTCTCCGATATTAGTTGTATTGGATCTTGATCATTCCTTTATTTTATATGCTTACAATTTAATTGAAATCAATTTACATGAATAGAAATTGAAAGTTTCATTGCAATACCAACCTTGGAATTAAATGTCGAGGCTCTTTAATAGGCAAATACTTTGCAATTTTCCTTTTTCACACTTCAACAATACAAATATTAGTCTCTAGCGCTAAACAAATTATGTAAGGTATGTTCAAATTTCAATATAAGTTCTACAAACAATTTCGTTTATGTAAAATCTGCAGTCACGACTACGGAAAAAAAACTATAACTGAAAGGTCAAAACAATGAAATGTTATTTCTCGCAAGATAACACGACCTTTTCGAATTACTTTCACCAGTTCATCTATAAAGTACCGCGAATTCCTGTTAAAAGCCGCCTACTATGAAAAATTAACACAACAAAAAAACCGTTGATTCCGTTTAATGTAACAAATTATGTATGAAAATCACTCACCTATCGCAATTATGTGTCGTAGGATAATAGATGCAGTGGCATAAGCAATTATGATAAGAATGCACGATAAAATAAAATTAAAATGTAAAAATCTTTGTTGAAAACTGTGCGTTGGTACAATATGTCGCGGTCACTCACATTGTTCACTTCACAAAAAACAAATAAAATAGAGACCATTTACACTTGAACACAGGCTGCGTAATATACATATGAAATAATTATTTATAAAATTATAACGAAAAACACAAGCCACAAAGACACATCACCCTCCCGAGCCGTGTCGGTACAAATTCTTATGATTTTTGAATTGATTGATTGATTTCATTCAAACCCGAATCACTCATTCAAGTATTACAGGTAACAAATTAAATCGTTATATACTTAATCTGCAATAAAATTTTATTATAAATAAGAAATTAATTTGAAAACACTTTATATTAATTTAAATACTTTAATGTAATTTAATTTAAATATATTTATGTTATTACAATAAATATCAGAAAAGGAAATCAAATATCCGTTTTTATTCTCTGTGCTCTATTAATTGAATACCAACATCCATGATATAAATGACAAATGTTTAATGTTTATCATTTATGTCAGTATGACATTTTTACTTTTTGTCATGGATGACAAATAAAACTTTTTGTGTACTGTGTACATTTATCTTATAAAAGCATAGCAATAAAATATGTAAATATTATAAATGCAATAAATATTTATTAATATAAATGACAGTGCAGTACCAACACAAAAATTGGTAGAAACAAGTTACAAGTGAAATAAAACAAAATGGCAGATAATGCCGAAAATCCGGAGGCGCCAAAACAAGAAAAAATCGAATTTAAAAAGCCAGTACTTGTTGGGCGAGTAGGTAAACCTCCTAAGAAAGTGAAGACAGAATCCGACAATGCCATTGAAAGCAGTAGCTATCAGAGAGATAATGAAAACACAATGGGATTCCCAACCAACCCTAAAAGTTCTTTGCCGCCCGCTGTACTGTTAAAAGAATTATCGACCCCTATACCTTATAAAGAACCAAAATGGTCAGGAACATGCCCTGAAGGTAAATTTTCAAAACTATTTAATGAATATAATGAATGGTATGTTTATTATTCTTATTACTTAACACTTATAGATTTTAATATTAAATTTAACTGATAGAGGAAACATTATTATATAAAAACTAATACAGGTATATTATGTGAAAATAAAACAATAAATATATTCTCATAACCAAATATTGTCAATGTGATAATGTGTTTTTTTATTCTGGTACATCAAGTTACCATGGTTTATTAATGTATGAAAGTATAACTTATGTATTAAAGTAACAATAACTTTATGTTCAATATATGTATTATGTTTTATAGGTTCAGAGTACGCTTTAGAAGTGTTGAAATCAGGAATGATAGTGGAAAAAGTAGATTTAACAAACAAACCTTATTATGTGTTTGGAAGACTTGCAAATTGTGATGTCATCATGGCACACCCAACTATATCCAGGTAGTACTATTATTAAGACATTAATAAAAAAGTAAAATACATATTTAAGATAGCTTAAAAAAATAGCAGAACAAAGTATGTTAAAAATTTTCCCTCCATTTTTTAAAGTCAATAAAATGCTCTTATCCTATTAAGAATATTAATGTAACTGGTCATGTACATATTTGCATGTTTTTTTTTTAAACAAGAAACAAAATAGTTTAGTACATACATTTTATCATAATCTTAACGATGCACATGTGACAACATAAATGTTTTTAAAGACAGAATAATTTATTTTGCATCCCTCATTCTATGTGAAGTAATCTGTAATCAGAAGTAATCTGTGCTCAACTGGCACACTTTGAAGGCATTAACATTTATTTGCAGTTCAATTATTTTAAATACTTTTTATAAGCAAAAAAGCGATCAAATTCATAATATAAACTTTTTTTTTAAATTGTCACAGGCACCATGCAGTACTCCAATATAAAGCCTTTGCAGGAGACGGTGAGCCACCCTCTGGCTGGTATATGTTTGATCTCGGCAGCACACATGGTACATTTGTTAATCGGGAGCGAGTTAAAGACAATCATTATATAAGAATAAGAGTTGGTTATCAGATTAAATTTGGTTCAAGTACGAGGACTTATATTGTTGTGGTGAGTAACTATTTTTTATATAATATATTTTATCTTTAGAAGTTTATTTTTGAGACATCTTTTATTGTCCAACAAGCCTCCATTTGGAAACTTTTTTTAATAGTATAAAAATGTTGCTTTTACATACATGGCTTATTACTATATCAGATTAATATTTTTCATTTTTCATTTGTAAAAGTATATAGTAATAGTGTTGCTTAGTGAGTTGTTTTTAAATAATAGCAAACTAAATTAAAATTATTATCCTTAATTAATTTTAACTTTTTTAAATTACACATAGAACAATGATATGGCTTAAATAATTAATACTATATTTTATATTTTTCTTTATGGTTATAAATATAATAATGGCAACACTAAATATAGATTACTAATTAATATTTTTAAAATTGTAATAATTATAAAAATAATAGCAAAAATTAAATAAATAATGTTCCATATTCACTTATAATTAAAATTATAAAAATGTTTAAAGTTAAAAAATATTGTAATGTAATTGGTGCAATTTTCATTTTGTTAATTGTGGGTAGGTTGTCTGTAACAACTATACCTTCAAGACATGTAACACCTCAGTCTCTCCCGTGACCATGGATGCTGTAAAGCATTCGAAACGTCGGGAACCAAAAATCAAAATAAATCCACGAAATAATCCGAAAAGATAGTTTTATTTAAAAAGTTCCTTAGTTTTTTCTATTAAAAAACATGTCTATTCTAAACTTGTAACAAAAGTCTTTAATTCATGAAGTATAAATTAATTGAATTCAATATATTTTTATTATATGTATTTTTTAAGCATAACTTGTTTAGGCGTGACTGAGGGGTAAGTCAATAAATACATTGGAAATGTGAGTGTTGCAGAAGTGAGAGTTGAAATTATTATTAATAATTTTAAAAATATATATATATTTATATTAATATATATATTTTTTATATAATTATATTTATATTTTTATAGTAATTATTATTTGTAATAAATATAATATATAATTTGCTAATAATTGTTACTTATAACAATGAATATTTATTACTACTTAATAATTTTATAAAAAATATTGCATTTATATTTTGATGTGTTTTAATTTAATTGTGGTATCTGTAGCGCCAAAGAAGTTGTACTTCAACTGCGCATAAGGCTACACGCACTCATTTTTTTTTTAATTCTCTTTCAAGGGCCCAGATTTCGACAGTGAAGGTGAATCGGAGTTAAGTGTGACTGAAATAAAAAAGCGAGCCGAGAATATGAAGTTAGAAAGAGAGAGGATGATACGGGAATCCAAAGAACAGAGGGAGAGAGATAGATTGGAAGAGGAGAAAAGGAGAGAAGAACAAGGCATTGATTGGGGAATGGGTAAGTGAAAGTAATAAAACAACCCGTTTATAATATCTTTAGTATTTTTACTACCTTAGTGGTCTAGTCGTTAAAATGTACGGCAGCAGATATGGAGGTCCTTGATTTGAGTCCCAGGTTGAGCTAATTATAGTGATTGGGCTTTTGTGTAAGAAAATTCTCACATAATGTTTTGGCAAATTTTAGTATTAACATGAGTCCATAATATGTTACTCCAGGTTTTATATAGTCTTTCTGTGGACACTAAATTTCATTTAAACTATATTATGTAGTAGTGTAGTAATTACTCACCAGCTTTTCTCAGCAGAACTGCCTTCCGAGCCGGTTTCAGGTTCGCTACGAACTGACAGACTGACTCTTTAAATTAATGATTTGTTTACATTAGTTTAATTGAATGAAAATATTTATTATGGAGACTAATGTAAATAAAACAATATTTCAGGTGAAGATGCAGAAGATGAACCTGATTTGTCAGAGAACCCTTATGCTACCACTGCAAATGAAGAATTGTATTTAGATGACCCTAAAAAGACCCTTAGAGGGTACTTCGAAAGGGAGGGACATGAGTTATCTTATAACTGTGAGGAGAGAGGGGTGGGACAGTACATTTGTAGGTAAGTTTGCTTAGAATTGAAAATTATATTCCTCTCAAGTCGTCTACTAAAAAAAGTAAAAACCCCATTCCCCCAGGCAGGGTTTGGAACCAGTTCAAAAAAGACGGTTGTTTTTTAGTAATGTAATGAATAATTATAATGACAAACGGTTGGGTAAACCGAAATAATAATAGTTAACGGTTATTCTTCAAGAAAGGTTAGACTTCGGTTTTAATATGAAAATAAACCGGCTAATCAATGTATAAGTTAGAAATGTACATGTATCCTTCTATTATGGGATTTTTCAATCATAAATAAATTTTAACCGGTAAATTTCGATCACGGAACCTAAATTCGTCAAAAACCGTTCTGCGGGTTTTAATCGGTCAAAACACGTAACCAAAAGCCTTAACCGAAAAGCTTCTTGGTTTTGGTATCAATGATCAAAACCGGTTCAAATTGAACGGGTTTCGAGTCCCGCCCACAGCATAGATTAGAGAAAATAGTTTTAACTGATTTTACCAAGATTCTAATTGTATTTAATATTATTCTCAGAGTGGAACTCCCAATAGACGACGCGATAGGCAAGCCTGTGATGGCAGAAGTAATGCATAGAGGGAAAAAGAAGGAGGCCGTAGTGGCCTGTGCGTTGGAAGCTTGTAGGATACTAGACAGAGCCGGGCTGTTGAGGCAAGCTAAGCATGGTATGTTCTTGTTATTCATCTTCTTCATGTTCTTATATATTTTTTATATATTTATTAGGTCTTCTTTGTTTTTTTATTATTCTTCTTACCTTTGCTGCCTGGCATCAATCTTTTTCTTTACATAATTATATTCCAACATTGATCATGTACAATTTTTTTTCATGTACTATCTGTATACTAAGTTTCGCCGTCTCAGAGTGAAGAAGTAACAAACATACTCACATACAAACATTCACATTAATAATAGTAATTTTGAGTTTGGTTTGGTTTTGAATATATATTAAAAATGGCAGTGGTAGTCCAGTGGTAACGCATTCGCTTGAGGAACCGAGTGAAGCAGGTTTAAATCCCGGGTCTCGCACGTCTGATATTTTCATGTGCGTATCATTTTCAACATGATTACCACTTGTCTTACGGTGAACGAAAATATTACGAGGGAACACGCAAGTCTGAGAGAAGCTTGCAAATTGTCGAAAGACATGCTCAGTCCGTCCGCACTTGGCCAGCGTGGTGGACTACGGCCTGATCCCCCTCGTATTGAAGGGATGCCCGTGCCCTGAACTGGGACGTTAAAAAGGGCTGAATACATACATACAATATATTATTTTAGAATCACGTCGAAGGAAACAAAGGGATTGGAGCGCAGATGACTATTACGATTCGGATGAAGACACCTTCCTAGATAGAACTGGCAGTGTGGAGAAGAAGAGACGAGCCCGTATGGAGAAGTATGGCGTCGTTCACGCTGAGGTGGACAAGCCTTTGACCTACGATGGTTTGGTATGTTATCTATACATATTTATATACTAGCGACTCACCCTTGCTTCGCTCGAGTTCGTCCCAAGGTACGTTTTAACGGTTAGTATGAAATAGATAGGTTGTATATTATATCCCATCAAAAACATAAATGTGAAAATGGGAGCCAAGTTGAATATTAAGAATATGTGAATATTAAGAATATGCGTGGTTGTCAACTTCACCGACAAAATAATTGAGATCTAAATGGGTGCTAAGTTCTGTAGATAATCCTGATTTTTTTTCATAAGAATGTACCTACAACATTCTAAAATAAATTTAAAATATAATTTCTTGTTTTTTTCTTCTACAAATGTGTTTGCTATTTAAAAATAGAACTTCTTAAATTTGAACAGTCAAATTATTTACACAGAGTAGATAACTTAGCATAAATTGAAGTTCAAGATTTGACTTGGCTAATTTTTACCACTAAAGCAAGTTTTTAGAAGAGTGAGACATGTTGACCTTACAATATAAAAACAGTAACTTTCATATAGCATAAAGAAGATATAAGTGATTAGGCGTATATAATATAACTTGTATGTTAAAACTAGCCAAGTCAAATATTGAACTTCAATTTATCCTAAGTTATCTACTCTGTGTACACTTGTATTTAAAGTTATATACGTGTAGTGTATCAACTATCTGGTATCCATAACACAAGCCTCGTAGCTAACCATGGAACTAGATGGTGTTGTGTGTTAATGTCCCAACATATTTATTTATTATAGTTCGATTCGGTATGTAGCTCCATCGTATAGATCAAACTAGGTATGTAGCAGAATATCTATCGGGTTCCATAATTATAATAAACAATACTTATTAGATTGACTGTGGAGAAACATCAAACCTATTTTTTAACTTTTATATAAATTAATTTATTATATTATCTTAAATAATTATTATTGTTTTTAAAAAATAATTATGAAGAATAATAATCCATTTTCTTAAACAGCTCAAGCAAATAACAGAAATAAAAAGCAAGATAGCATCAGAAGAGAAGATTCTAGAACGTCTGAGAAGTTCACACAAACAGACAGACAATAGTAACAGTGAAGAGGATGCTTTGGATGAATATATGAACTCCTTGGGGAAACAGGGTCAGAGTATGGCAGAGAAAGCTGAGATTTCAAAAACTAAGGTATTGTAAACTAATATTATAAAGTAGTTGTAGAAACTAAAAGTTAGTATAATTAAATAAATTATTACATATATAAATGAATACACATTCAATAAATAATAAGTAAATTCTTAATTTTGATTATTGTTATTTTTTGCATATTACTCAAAAAAAAATCGAATTCGCTACTTTTGTTTGGTGATTTTTTTATATATTTAAAATTCTTAAGCTTGTTAACAGTTAAACGAAATAGGATTAAAATATCACATTTTCCCATAAATAAATAAAAAAGCAAACTTTTAGAATTATAATGGGGGTCACAAAAGTTTCAAATGCTATGAAACATGAATTCCTATTGTATTTCATTGGTTAATACATGTACGTTATATTATTTACTCTACATGTTTACATTATACTTACTCTAAAACCGACTCGCACTTGACCGACCATTAACATACATGTACGCTTACAGATGAATATACAGAAACTCAAAACAGAGTTGTCAAAAACACAACGTCTCGCCGAACTAGCGAGGCCGGCGCACTTGCCGCCGATTGTAAAGAAGGAAGACAATAAAATGGCGGTCAAACAGACAAACTCGGTTATTTATGGTAAAAGGTAATAAGTATAACAATATACTTGATGTTTTCTTATTATTAACACCTCCAGGCTCCAGGTAAATATCTAAGAAATTAATTAAATTTCTAAGAAATCTTATTGTTAACTGACACGCCGGCGTGTCCGCGGTCTTGGAGGGATTAAAATACAAGTGACTCTTTGACTCAGGTGTGTCCTTAGAGGTACCTACCTAGTTATTAAGTCTGATTTATCAAGATCATCTTAAAATTATAAGTATTTATAATATAAATAATAAGTTGTTAACTATTATTGTTTTTACCCAACTGCGGTGAAGCTCAAAGGAGAGTTATTTGTTTAACCTGTTTGTAAAACCATACATACAAGATATATTCTAACTGCGAGTCTTACTGCGTGTTTGCACATGTGTATGTCTCCAATTGCATAATACTAGGTTCCTTCGTCATTCGTTTTTTATATAAATAAAAGTCATATTTTAAAAACCTTTGTGTCTGAACACTACTCGCACATGGCCAAGTAAAGCTACAATTATCACTATTTCATTATTTAAACAAATTAATGATTATGAAATTTTCAGAATAAAATTAAAAGATAACATTGATAAACTACCCAAAGCCAATAGAGAAGTGAAACAAGAGGTCAGTGAATTTGTTGAGGAAATGGATTCTGATGATGAAATCGAATCTTCTGGAACCCAAGATACTTCTGAAAAAGTACAGGAGAAACCGGAAAAAGAAGTAAAAATAGAAATAACTAAAGAAGAAGATAAAACAGTTGAAGTTAAAGAAAAGGAAAAGAAAATATATGGACCAATGAGACCGCCTGAGGATTATGTTATTCCACAAAATTATTTTGATCAGGAGAGTGATAGGGATCTTCCTGAAATTGAAGAAAATGATATATAATAGTAAAGTAAATAAAATCTTTAAAATTAATATGTAACATTATTTTTACCTACCAGATAAAGCCCAAAAGAAAGGGTTATGTTTTGCTGTATGTATGTCCATTTGTCCAATACCTATGTTCCATCATAACTACTAAATGGTTGAGTTAATTTTTGAGAATTATATATCTTTACATTTACTTTGATTATGTGAATGTCATACTGTATAGTGAACTAATGTAGAGTTTTTTTGCACTAATTGAAGCATTTAAAAAATCTAAACCTATCAAGTTTGGTAAGTACTAAGTATAAATGATTTCAATAAAAAAAATTTTCTTAAAAAAATAAAAAAAGAGCTAGCACCAACATTAAATATTATCTGATTAGGTATCTTATCCTAAATGAAAACACCATTTAATTATTTCTTACTATTTAGTGCCTAGAAGTTAAGTTTTTACTTTTTTAATACCACTATAATATACTAGTTCCATGAATGAATAATTAATTCGTTCATGACAGGTTCCAATAGAGCTAATAGTCTTGTTAAATGGGTGTTGTTAGGGATTGAACAGGAGTAAAGTATCTTATAAAATAAATTCAGAGTAAAGATTAAACGTAAAGCGAGCTCTTGTTATAAAGATTGCCACTCACTACTTTTATTACTTTTTATAAGTATAATACAACAATATGAGACAAGTAAGTCAACTTTGAGTTCTCGAGTTGTCCAAATCAAAGATTAAAGTATTTTCTTGTATTATATTCTATTATAAAATAATTGTTAGAAAGAAAGAAAAATTAAATCTTGGAAAACATTCTTTTATTAGAGCGACTTACACTTAAATATATTTACATCCACCTTACGAGTCCGTAAACCAATGAGCACAAAAAGTAAGGTTATATCAACTATCTTGTAGAAACTGTCGCCTCTTTCCTTGCCGCGTCTTGAAGGAGCTGGGTATCCACTTCATCAGCAGGTAACTGGACGTAACGTACTACGGAGCCTCGAATAAAACAGTTCTTCACCGACAGCATATGAGGATATTTGTCAGGATCAATGACGCTTATATCCGACAATTTTATATTAAGATATTGGTCCACAGAATGCAGAGTCCCACAAATACTGAGATCATTTTTTAATTCCACAACTACATCCTTGCCGACCAATGATTTAAAGAACGAGTAAAATAACATTTTTGTTTATTTTGATGAAAAAGCGGCAAGTAAATCGAGAAGTTTATATCTTTTGACTTTTACAACAGATTAAAAAAAAATTATTTAATTAATATTAAGGAAGGCTGTCAGTGATAAACAGATTGTCCTGTTGTTCCTAGCTGTGAATAAGCAAATTGGAGATTTATGGCGATATTTCTGATGAAATGAAATAAACTTTATTCAATTAGACTAATTACAAGTACATTCGAATCGTCAATTTAATGAAAGCGTCAGTGTAGTCAGTCCGTAAGGAAGCTACCAGTTTCTGGTTTTTATGTTTTACAATAAACAAATTTCATTTAAATAACTATTGACCTTAGAGTATACATATGTTATAGAGCGCGCGTCTTAGAGTATATATGTAATATGTATACTCTAAGCTATTGACTTATTTCTGAGCGTACCACTTATTTTGGTCTGAAGTAATATGTGTAAAATTTAAAGCAATCATTTCATATTAAAAAACTCCCAAATATATTACTTCATTTATTAAAGCACATAAAATTTTAAATAAAAAATTATAGTCTATTAGAAGATTCAGAACGTATGGTGGTGATTAACTTAGTCTGTCAAAGTCAAACTAATTTGCATTTTTTTGACTGCAGCGTTGCATCGTTGTATGGCGTCGGTACACTTGCAAATTATATAGTTAAATCACCTAGAAATTCGTTTTAAATGTTTAATAAACTACTACAGTAAGCAATATCTAATAATCTAGTGTTTTATGTATATATAATACAATATAAGTTAAATTACTTCACGTGCCATACAACGCCGACATGGCTACGGACGACAACACCGAAATTGTAAGTTAAATGTTTTCTCTTTGAATATACAACTATTTTAAAAGAATGAACAATTAATATTTTCGTGATATTTTGATAGGATTGGGGAAATGAAAGGCTAATTCGAGCTCAACGGGCTGTAGAAGCAAACGTATATGATGTAGATTCGTGGTCTCTATTAATACGTGAAGCGCAAACAAGACCTATAAATGAAGTCCGGACTATGTATGAAAAGCTGATCGCCTCATTCCCTACTACAGGCCGGTATTGGAAGATTTATATTGAACAAGAGGTTAGTTATTAAATTTGTTTTAATTCATGCATGCATTACCATAGTATTCTCATGGCTCAAACCTGAGGTCTGTGTATAAAAGATAGTAAATTATAAATATGGTCTTCTAAATTTTTGATTATTTAATCTTCGATCACTACTTCACAGTTTGGTAAAATTGTGTTACATTTACTATTATAAAAATATTCACATATTGTTTTTTTATTTTTAATGTTACATTAACATTTGTATAATAGCAATTCTTTACCTTTCAGATGAAGGCAAGAAACTTTGAAAAAGTAGAAAAGGTTAGTATCGTTGTAGCATAAATATATGGTAAATTAAAATTTATCTGTGATAATAAAGTTTAAAAAATAATAAGAAATAAATAATATTGTCGATAAGACACTAAAAGACTCAATAATGTATAGTTGTAAGAGAAATAAATAAAAAACAAACCTGAATTCATATGTTTTTTTTCAGCTAGGGTGTCTGTGTTCAGACATGTTGGAGGTGATTTTTTTTGGCAAATACATAAAACATGATTAAATGATACTAAAAATTCATTGAATTTTTAATTGTAGAGTAAAATGTTTGTTGAAAACAATTATTTGCCTTTAAAGATCACTTTTGAGATGTATTATCCCTGTCTTTATTATTTTTATTACTTTATGATTTTATTTTTTCAAAAAAGAGTATAATTTAAAATGCTTTAAGAGAGTGCTTTGAAATGCGTAACATAATAACAAATTGGATGAATATTAACATAGAATCTTATAAACTATTAAAAAGATGGCATTAAATTGAAAGCCAGTGTACTACTTACTTAATTTTTTTGATTTGATAGATATTGAGTAAAACATTGATTTATAGTAGGTAAAATTTATGTGTATGCACTATCATGATAAAATAATATACATTTTAAAGATAAAAATTATTAAATTAAGTAAAAAGGTTTGATTTTCTATGCAATCTGGCATTAGCCACCCATCGTACCAAAACTGGTAAGATAAAAACACCTGTATGAACAAAAATATGAGCAATGTGGTATCATAAGGCGTCCCATTTCTGAGGTAAACACCACGGCTTACGTGAAAATGAATACATTTGAGTTAAATTAACCCATGTAATATGTTATTAGTAATTTTTACGTTATTGTCATTGTTTTCATATGGCAATGTTTACATCCACATCTTGGAAACATGACATTTTAATGCATGCACACATCAAATTGCTGAAGTTTTTTATTTTAGTGGCTTCTACCCATCTATACCACTTTTTTATACACCACAAGTTTAAAATTAAAATGGCGCAGTTGGCAATGACACAGGTTCTAATTTTGTATATACAATTCTTGCAAATATATCTGTTACTGGCCAAACTGGTTTGTCCTAGGCCAAACTAGTTCATCCAAAGTATCAGGATATACTAGTTTAGCCCGGACAAAATACCAAATACTTCAGGCTTAACGAGTTTGGCATAGGCCAAACTGATTTTGAGGTGTTATTTTGCAGTTTAATATATAAGACGCGGCCTCTTGTGTTATTATTATGTGACAGGCCCGACTTGGATAACGTAGGTTTCTCAAGTCTTAGCCCTCTTGTTAGGTTTTTTTTAATAGCAAACCCAGAACCCCTAATATCGTAAGTGTTATGTGATTTCATCAGTTTGACCCAGGGCAAATTAGTTAAGCCTAAAATATTTAGGCCAAACTAGATTGTCCTGGGCTAAACTAGTTTATCCTGACACCTTAGGATGAACGAACCAGTTTGGCCTGAAATCTAGTTTGGCCGTTAACATTAATATCAATTTCATATTAAATCATCGATTAGGTTTTCAAACTGTAGTCTTACATTTGACTAGATTTTATTAAATACTTTAGTATAGGTATTAGGTCCTAAAACGAAAAAAATGACTGAATTTCTACATCAGCAAGCTGATGATGTATTAATATCGCTTAGAAAAAAGATAAACATTATTTATTTTTACTTAATATAACTTAAAAATCTATACAGCTTTTGATTACTTATTACTGTTTTTCTTCTATCATATCACTTTAATACCAGAGCTATTACTTTATTACTCAAAGAGTGATATGTAATCAGATATAACGTAGCCTTAGTTCTTATGTGTTCAAACGACCAATATTTGTTGTACTTTACAGTAGATTTCTTTCCTGTCCTTTAGAAACAAAGCTTTATTTCTAAGATTTATATCCAGGACAAAAAAAAATTGGTCGTCACGGGACGCCTGGCAGATGTGAAACATCTATGTTAATATTACAATTCATAATTAAGAAAAACCTATAACGAAATATAGAGTAAAATAATGAAATAATAGTTTTGTTAGTAAAATCAATTTATTCTTTTCTTATTATTTTAATTATACTAATAATTATTAATTACAGAACATATTATATATTCATAAATAGAATAGAAAATATGTTAGTGAATTTAATAGAGATTGTTTTACAATGGAGCGTGTATAGTGTATAATATACGCGCGCGCGCGCACAAGGGAGTTATGAGCGGTGGCGTAGAAGGGACATGATGGCATGAGAGCGTCACGCCACATTTTGTCGTCACATAACTTGCTGCTTTTTCTGCCAAGGAATGAAATAAAATCAATAGATGTTTCAAAAGCACCTTTTCGGCTTTTTTAGAGTAAAATATGTATTTTATACCAATAGAATTGACATTCAATCCCTCCACGACGGCGGACACGCCGGCGTTACAATTAACAGTAGATTTCTAAGAAATTTAATTAATTTTCTAGAAATTTACCTGGAGGTGTCAAAAGTACATAATTCTGTTTTAAAAATTATTTCGGTAAATTGGTCGTTTGGACAAATAAGCATTGCGACGACAATAAGTGTTCTACTAAGTAGGAGTACTACAAGGCCTGATTCTTTGCCCATATAATCTCCAAATAGTTACAATAAAAAAAGAAATATAAATGGAAAGATTAGTTTTTGTTTTAATTATTAATGATTATTTTTAAGCCTTCAAAGAAAAGGTAGGTGTCATGTTTCATAAATTATATGTTTTTTTGTAATACTTTTTATGTTATTTTCAAATTGGTAAAGTTTTAAAATAATTTTGGTAAATATTAATCCTACGGTAATTGGCGGCTAAACGGTGAAAGTTATGTTTACCACAAAGCGCACATATAAATAGTGTGCTTCTAACTTTGATGCTTAAGTTTCAAGCTTTGCTTAGTATGGATCAGGGCTCGGAAACCCGTCCAATTTTTAAACCGGTTTTGGTAGTTAACCCCAAACCGAAAGGCTTTTCGCTTGGTTAGGTTTTTTAACCGGTTAAAACCCAGAAAATGGTTTTTGACGAATTTAGGTTCCATGATCAAAATTAATCGGTTTAAATGAGTTTGTGCGTTTACATATAGTGAATATTTGCTAATGGTGAATTACTTAGATAGTAGAAGGATTTTTGTGTACATTTCTTACTTATGAATATGTAAATCAAACCTAAGTCTAACCATTCTGTAAGAATAACCATTAACAATTATTATTACGGTTTAGTAAACCGTTTGTTTCTATTAACCGGTTAATGAACGAGCGATGAATTAACCATTGCATTACTGAAATATTTTTTTGTATTTTTTTAACCGGTTCCGAGACTGGTATGGATATATAAATAATATTACATAGTTTTGCATTTCGACTTTTCAATTCCACTCAAATCAGTTGAGCCATTATAGTGAGGAAATGACAAACACACATACACATAAACCTTTAATCGGTTAATTTTTTATTTTTCATTTATTTTCGGTGCCCACCAGTTGTTTCAGCGATGTCTCATGAAGATTTTAAACATTGAACTGTGGAGACTCTACTTGAATTACGTGAAGGAGACGAAATGCATGTTGCCAACATACAAGTAAGTTGTGCTTTCTATAAAAAATTTAACTCTATAGTCTACAAAAATTAGGTAAAAAAAGACAAACTACATCTAGACCAGGACTGAATGAAGCCTTTGAAAATGGTAAAAAGTGAAAAAAAATTAGTAGGATGAGACCCACTGGAAAAGGTAGAGAATATAACAAAAATGTAAGGAAAAATAATTTACGGGCGATCTGAGGTCGGGAAATGGGGGGGGGGGGGGGGGGGGGGGGTAAAAACGGTTTATTTCGATTTCCTGCAAAACTACAAGTACTATGGAAAAAAGTTAAATGGCAAAGTTGTAGGTAATACAAAGATCTACAACTTAAAAGACATTTATAACTCAATCGTCTCATTTAATGTTATTTTTTAAAGTTGTAATTGTAATGGATGCAGTAAATTTCGTTTTTGATACGAATTCCTTTTTATTCTAAAAACTTAACTTTCTTCTGCATAATATTCAACATTTTGATACAATTAGTGTATAAACTAAAATGCGATGGCAATTTTTTTCATATATCTTTGCATTAAAAAAACATAAAATAATTTCCGTACGTAAAAAAAACCATAAAACTTAGATACATATAAAACCTATCCCGTGGGAATGTCTTCTCTTTCTTTTTATTAGAAGAAGCCTTCCTTACCAACATTTTTTGTATTTCTGTGTCATGGTGGTTTTACATATCCAAAAGAAATTTGCATTTATCTTAGAAGGATACGTTTTTGAGAAAAAGTAAATAAGTATTATTATAGCTCAGGATTTAAATCATTTAATATGGCAAAACGTTAATTTTAACCATAATAATTACTTCCTATGTCTTCATATGTTGGCTTCATTTATTATTCGTCGAACATTTTTAATTGCAGCTCCTATTGTTGAGCCAACAGTACCTATCTGTTCGTCTTTAAAAGGGTTTATGTATATTTATTACTAGCGGCTCACTCTCGCTTCGTTCGGGTTCGACTCTAGACAAACAAAAACAAATTATCCAACGGGAACCGTACATTTTTCCGGGGTAAAAAGTAGGCTATTTGTTTTTCTGATGTATGAACTATATTATTTTAAAATTTCATTAAAATCCAATCAGTAGTTTTTTTGTGTACTAAGCTGTATAAGTTACTTTAGTTTTTTAACTAACCCGAGGAAAATCTTTAATTTTCCGGGATGAAAAGTATTTGATTTTGATGACCGGGGATATAATGTACCACCATGCAAAATTTCATTTAAATCGGTCGAACAGTTTCAGAGATTAGCCCGTACAAACAGACAAACAGACAGAGAAAAAAAAATTGAAAGAAATCTGGATTTGTTCTATTTCTCTTCTTACATCCTCCTGACTCGGTTTTTAGATTTTTTTTCTATGTAGTATGTACAGACATTCGACCTTTACAGTTTTATTATATGTGTAGATGAAAGATACTACTACATAGATTTTAAAGCAGGCAAAAATAACAAATATAACCGTACAAGAAACAGTTCTTTAGCCTTATTTTTGTTTTTGATCTGTGCGAGGCCAGATAATGTCTTGAGTTACTTTTCATCTTGATATATCATCAGACGGGGGACTAAGTACATTAGATACTATGTTTAGAAGCGATAGTTGATCACTGAATCTATTTAACATCCTGGTACATCAAAGGATAATGGACGAAGTAGATCCCGCGGGATATTTTATAGACTTACAACTACTGTACAAATAATACTGAGACTCGAAGCGAGGTCGCTTACTTCGTACTGGTTCAACATAAAGTGCTATGTAATCTACCTATATAAATAAATAAAATTGAAGTGTCTGTTTGTTATATCGGAATAACAGCTTTTTACTTAATACATGTAAAAGTATATATACGGTACTTATAAAAAAATATAATAAAAAAAACTGTGTGTCTATTTGTTAATCTCCGAAACGGCTCGACCGATTTTGATAGGCTTTCACCGACAGATAGTTGATGTTCTAAGGAGTAACGTAGGCTACTTTCATGTTAGAAAAAGATTTAGGGATCCGCGTAAAAGAATTAAAATCTGCGTACCTAAGGACAGTTAGTAAATAAGTAACAAACATATGTTGTGTAGACCATAATATCATTACATGAGCGACTTACTTTCCCTTCGCTCTGGTTCCTGGGTGCCTATGTGTTTCTCCAGATTACAGTCTATCTGTGGACTTTCAGTCAAATCGGTCCAGCTGTTTAAGCGTGAAAGAGCAACAAACATACACACATACAAACTTTCGCATTAATAACAGTTGTTCGATAGAGAATTAAAGAAGCTTTTAATGTTTCAGAGAAAAAATGGCACAGGCATACGATTTTGCATTGGACAAAATCGGCTTGGACATCCACGCCTACCCAATTTGGAATGATTACGTCACGTTCCTCAAAAGTGTGGACGCTGTTGGTTCGTACGCTGAGAATCAGAAGATTTCTGCTGTTAGAAAAGTATGTATGGCTGATTAACCTGATCCTCTAAAGCAGGGTTTCCCAACCTTTATTCTGTTGAGCTTCCCCGGATTATAAAAAATATTTTCATGCCCCCCTAAATTTTTTAATTATAATAAAACACACTATTTCAACGATTTTTGTTTATTTTAATTTTAAATTATACAAAATAAACTATCTATGCAACATGAAGAAGACATGTTATGTATACTTATAGAATAACCGGTAAAAAAGAAGAAAAATAAATAAACATAAAATTCTAATGTGTCATATACTTTTCGATTAATTTCTGTTTTGTTGCAGGTTTACCAAAGAGCAGTAATAACGCCCATCATCGGAATAGAAACTCTATGGAAAGATTACATTGCGTTCGAGCAAGGCATAAATACTATAATTGGTAATCGAATTTCTTTTTTTAAAACAATGATATATAAAAACGGATACTTTTGTATTTCCTAACAAATATTTCTTCAAAAAATGGCGTCGTCATGTGAATTTATGTTAAACCAAAGAATAAAATACAAAAATTGAAAGTTCTAATTGTCTAAACACAAATTCGAACTTATGCACACCACATAAAGTACTTTTTTAAACGACACTACGTGCGTTTCAGTTGTTATCCAAAAATGCAATGAACAAAGGGTGTTTGAAAAAAGCGCAATTCAATTTCGAATTGTCCACTTCTCTTGAGGACACTTGACGCTAATTGTATATCTTGAGTTTTTGTATATCAGTGTTTGAATAATTAAAAAATATATATTTCTTTATATATTTTTTTTATTTAGTTTAATTATCTGGGATAATCTTAGAAATGACTTGACTAGGTAACAATGCTTATAATTTTTAAATAAAGCTTTTTTTTTAGTTCAACCACACAAAATAAAAAAAAAATGGGTCTCTACTTGAAAAAAAATATCCAGGGCTGTCGCTAGTGTAATTAATTAATACATATTATTATTTAATTAACTTTTATAATATTTTAGCTGAACGTATGGCGATGGAGAGGTCAAGGGAATACATGAATGCAAGGAGGGTAGCAAAGGAACTAGAGACGGTGACGCGGGGGTTGAACAGGAACATGCCGGCCACCCCGCCTAATGTTGATAGGGAGGAAATGAAACAGGTATATATCTAACAGTAAATTGGTCACAGGTTCGATATCCGTATCGAGTTCTCGAATATTTTAAAGTTTGTTGCCAGCGATTAGCAGATGATTTATGTGTTACCATAATAACTTATTTAATGTCTCTAGAATCAATAATATAGGCTTTTCATATAAAATTACGATAGCCTTTGTATGGTATCACAATATTTAATTATTTAATATGAGGAGGATCAAGCCATAATCTTTCGAAAGCTTCTCTTAGACATATAGGTTTCCTCTCGATGTTTTCACTTTTGAAACCTGCATTCCTGAGAGGATTTAGCAAATTTTCGAAGGACATGCTCGGTCCATCCGCACTTGGCCACTATGGTGGATTTATTATGGTCTGGTGCCCAGCAATGGGACGTTATAAAGGGCCGAATAAGATTAGCTGCCAGATGCGAAATCGGCTAAAATTATAATTAATATGACAGGTGGAGCTATGGAAGAAGTACATAGCATGGGAAAGGTCCAATCCCCTCAGGTCAGAGGACACGGCGCTGGTGGCACGGCGCGTGATGTTCGCCATTGAGCAGTGCCTGCTGTGCCTCGCGCACCACCCCGACGTGTGGCACCAGGCGGCGCAGTTCCTGGACCACTCCGCCAAACTGCTGCAGGAGAAAGGGGTGAGATATACACGTACATACATACGCACATATACGCATTCATATATACACGCATACACAAGTACAGACGTTATTAAACTTTCGTATATATGTATGTATAATAGTACTCCAACAAATTCGATATTCAATTTATCCGACTTCGAAAATGGAGGTTATATGTTCGTCTGTATGTATATATTTTTTACTCGAACCAACACACACACACAGGACTCGAACGCGGCGCGGCTGTTCTCGGACGAGGCGGCGGCGGTGTACGAGCGCGCCACCAGCGGCCCGCTCAAGCGCTCCACGCTGCTGCACTTCGCGCACGCCGACTACGAGGAGAGCCGTCTGCACTACAACCGGGTGATTATACTGAATTTATTAATGAATAACTCTTTATTGTACACCCAACAACAAAACGAGAAAAAAATATATAGAACAAGGTACAAGAGAAGGCCTTATCGCTAAAAGAGTGATTTCTTCCAGGCAACCATTAGGTGTAAAAAATAGTAAATCACGTTCGTTTTAACGTTTAATATAGATTTCTCTTCTTCCTGATCCTCTCGTGCTGAAGGGAGGCCCGTGCCCAGCTGTGGGACGTTAAAAAGGGCTGAATACATACATACATACATACATACATAGATTTCTCAGAGATGAGATATTTTCCCGCAGTAAAAAGTATCCTATATGTTGATCCGGATAACCAGCTGTCATCATACCTAATTTCATCAAAATCCTTTCAGTGGTTTTCCGTGATGTGGTCACAGACAAACAAACAGAATATTATAATCACACAGATTATAGATTCGGCCTCTGTATCGATAATAATGACTATTTCAATAAGAATTTTCAAAAAATATTTAATGCACAGATTCGACTCAGAATTATCCTACTATTTTGCATACAATACAACACTACGTAAAACGTAGGTTTACGCAAGGGATAATGTCCTACAGTCATACAGTTCAACTAATAACGGAGGACAGTGCGTCGTTGAATTTTGTTAGCTTAGCTTTTGCATTCAAGTTCATTTCACAGTGTAAAACTTACTTGGTGTACCTTGTTATAAATTTTTAAAGTTATTTAAGTAATCTAAGCTGTTTATGTATAAATAAGTAAATGAATGAATGTGTGAGCGAGTGAATGAGTGAGTGAATGAATAAATAAATGAATAAAATAATGAATAAACGAGGTACAACGAATGCCCCACCAACGCCCAAGGTGCACCAAGTGTACACGCGCTACCTGGACATGGAGGACATCGAGCCCACGCTGGCCTTCGTGCAGTACATGAAGTTCGCGCGCCGCGCCGAGGGCATCAAGTCCGCGCGGACCGTGTTCAAGCGCGCCAGGGAGGACCCCAGGTATATACTCATTATCCGTTCATTCATTCATTCACTCACTCTTCCACTTGTATCAGTTCAATCATTTTGTTAATAACTTCAAAACATGACAGGCACTGTACTATACACTTCATACACGGCACGTAGAATGAAGATGACATGAGGGAGATTGATTAGAATTTGTGTTATAATGCTCACCTTTTTATTAATTTACTCTCTCAATCTCTCATCTTACTTGCTCACTCACTCACCTACTCATTCATTCATTTTTATCATTATAATATCATTATAATTAAAGAAAACAACAATTTTTGAAAATAATATCTCCGAAAACTTTAGCGCACATGTTAAATTTATATCCAAACATGATGTGCCTATAATTTATAGAAAATTTCAATTTACATTTAAAATTTTCCATATATATAATAAATGTACTGTACATATTTTGGTAACGATTTTCATAGTGGAGGTTTTTATTAGAACTAACATTAGCTGATCTAAAAATATCAAATTAATCGGTCTACATTCTGCAATTTGTCAGTAACTCTCGAAAAAAAAAATGTTTTAAAGTTATTTGTATTTTCAGCATTGTAAATATAGTTCTATTTTTTTATCTATGATAAAATACTTGTATTTGTAACATTGCGTTGTGATTTTAATTAAAATTTCTAGATCCCGTTACCACGTATTCGTTGCTGCCGCCTTGATGGAGTACTACTGTTCCAAAGACAAGAACATAGCGTTCAGAATATTCGAGCTGGGACTGAAGAAGTTCTCGCACATCCCCGAATATGTCCTGTGCTATATTGATTATCTGTCGCATTTGAACGGTGAGTTTTCGTTGTTATTTTTTATCATTTTTGTTGTTTTTTTTATATTTCAATTATTTATAAACGGGCATCCTATATAATTTAAAAAAAACCATAGTTGTGGGTGGTTTCTTGGAGATTTTTTTTGAATGGACACAAATAATTTAAAAAAATAAAAATATATTTTCATCATAATAATAACAGATGTTCGCTTTAGCATTCCAAATATCAACAAAAAAATAAAACTGTCACAAAATAATAAAACATTTTATTATATATTAAATATCCCCAGAGGACAACAACACGCGAGTGCTCTTCGAGAGAGTTCTCTCCTCCGGCAGCCTCAAGCCGGAGAGCTCCGTAGACATCTGGAACAGGTTCCTGGAGTTCGAGTCCAATATAGGGGACTTAGTTAGTATCGTGAAGGTGGAGAAGAGGAGGCAGGCTGTGTTGGAGAAGGTAAATCATTTTTTATTCTTTGTATCTTTTTAACGTCCTACTGCTGGGGATGGGCCTCCTATCAATACGAGGGAGAGCTTACCGCGCTGGCCAAGTGCGGGTGGACTGAGCGTGTCTGCAGACAACTTGCTAGGTTCTCTCAGAATTTGAAAATGTCTACAGTTCAAAAATCTCTAATGTACACATTACATGAACGATGAATAAAATTTTTGAGCGTAGTTCCTGAATCGAAATTTAAACTACATATTTTAAATAATACTTTCTTAGATTTACGCGAATGTTTGACATTATTAAATAAAACTATCTTTTCGGATTATTTCGCGGATTTATTTTGATTTTTGGTTCCCGACGTTTCGAATGCTTTACAGCATCCATGGTCACGGGAGAGACTGAGGTGTTACATGTCTTGAATGTATAGTTGTTACAGACAGCCTACCCACAATTAACAAAATGAAAAATGCACCAATTACATTACAATATTTTTAAATTTAAAACATTTTTATAATTTTAATTATAATTGAATATGGAAAATTATTTATTTAATTTTTGCTATTATTTTTATAATTATTACAATTTTAAAATATTAATTAGTAATCTATATTTAGTGTTGCCATTATTATGGTTATAAATATAATAATGGCAACACTAAATATAGATTACTAATTAATATTTTAAAATTGTAATAATTATAAAAATATTTTAAAATTATCGTCACCTAAATTTTCCTTAAAATTTGACTGACTTACAATTGACTTAAAATTTAACAAATGATTGTTTTTTTTAATTTGTTTTAATTAAATTTGTTTTAAATTAGTAGTGAGGTGAGTTAAAATATATTGCTTATAATTAAAAAAAAACATTCAATCCGCTTTTCAATTTTTTTGTTTAAATAATATATCTATATTACTAAAAGTAACCTTCATAAATATCCAAGAATATTTATTCCATCCATGGGGTGGAATTTTTCTGATAATTTAAAATGTAATATTCTTGCTTTTATTTAATAAAGAGACCAAAGAAATCAAAATGTATGCTTAAAAAAATATATAAAACGTTTTATTTAATTTCCAACAGATCAAAGAGTTCGAAGGCAAAGAAACGGCTCAGTTGGTGGACAGGTACAAGTTCCTCGATCTCTACCCGTGCAGCATCGCCGAGTTGAAGTCCATCGGGTACACAGAGGTATGTGCGGGTTCGATTAAGTCTATATTATAAAATATCACTTAGCTCGTACTAGCGCTTCTAAGCACTCCTCCTCCTTCTATTAAGTAATCATTTAAGATTGACATTTTATGTTGGGAGTGTTTTTTTTTACTGTACTGTAAACTCTAACATCATCTAAAATTACCAAAATATAAATTTCAACAAAAAAATCATCCCTAACATAATCAATTTTCTACTTAACACAATAAATGTTATTAAAATTAAAATATTATTTCATATGCAATTTTTTAATATAATTTTCATAACTTTTTTTATTAATTTGTTTAAAAGAAAATTTAATTTTAGGGATCACGGCGTAAAGCCGATAAATGAAGTTTATTTTTTAATTTAAAAAATTATATAACGAAAAATGAATGATTATTATTGATTACAGGTGGCGTCGATGTCAAATAAGTCGTGGGCTCTCGGGGGCCCGCTCGCCGGCATCTCCCCCGAGCTGGCCGCCGTTATTTTGGGACAGAAGTACGTATACTGTGAAAAAAAACGATATTTATCTTTATATATATAATTCTTCTGTGAGTGTGTATGTCACTGAACTTCTCTCAAACGACTGGACCGATTTTGATGAAACTTTTTGTGTGTGTTCAAGGGGATCTGGGAATGGTTTAGATTCACAATTTGAATAATAATTTTCATCAAAAAAATTATTAAAAAAGTTTGAAATTTTCAAATTAAAGACGTGTAGACTGGACAACGTCTGTCAGGTCCGCTAGTATATATATATATATATATATATATATATATATATATATATATATATATATATATATACTCGTATATAAAAACATAGATACACATTTCCTAACAAATATCTCTTCAAAAAGTGGCGTCGACATGTGACGTTAAGTCAAACCAAAGGATAAAATTCAAAATCGAAAGTTCTAATTTTCTAAACACAAATTCGAACTTACGCACACAACATAAAGTAGTTTTTTAAACGAAACAACGTGCGTTTTAATTTTGTTAAAATCTTTAAATTACAGCATTGTTATTTAGAAGAACCTATATACTTGATTTTGATCAAAACGTTAGACGAATTAGTTCCGGAAATATCTAAAAAAATAAAATAAAATAAGAAAAACTAAACTTTCTTTCAAAAAGGTCCCATCTTGTAACAGCAGAATATTTCAACTTAATGCTCTAGTAAGTTGGAGTTTTTTTATATATAATTAGTGTGTTTTTTAATTCTCCAGGGATAACGATCCCAACAAGGACATAGCGCGTCCCGACACCAGTCAAATGATCCCGTACAAGCCCAAGGCGAACCCCCTCCCCGGGGAACACCCGATACCCGGTAAGATATGGTTTTTGAGTGTAATAGATAATCTATTATTAATTTATATTTATCCATTTGTTTATTATCATTAAAAAAACAGCTACAATGATGTTTTTAAAATTAGGATCAGGATTTAAGGATGCGAATGATAATAATAGGTTTATATTACTAAATATATATAGAAAAAGTAGAATAAATATATCTTTATGGTTATGTTAATAAAATAAATAAAATGTAACGTCATTATTAATATTTAAAAGAGTAATTGTCTCGTTTCTCTCGGGCTCTTCTCAGCAGAACTGCTCCCCGAGTCGGCGGTAGCTTCCTCGCAGACTGACTACACTCATGCTCTTTAAATTAAATTGAAGATTTAAAAGTGCTTATAATAAGTCTACTTGAATAAAGTTTAATTTAATTTCGTATAACAAAAGACAAGGCTTAATACAAAAAATATGTACTAACATTACTATCGATCTCGTGTCGGTATGTCTGTCTGTAGGAGGCACGCTCTCGGCATTGTAGTAGATAGTGTATCTCTGTGTGTATCTGTATGGCAGGCGGCACGTTCCCGATGCCGTCGAGCGCGGCGCACCTCTGCACGCTGATGCCGCCGCCCGCCTCCTACCGCGGCCCCTTCGTCGCCGTCGACCGCCTCATGCAGCTCTTCAACAGGATCGCCTTGCCCGACAGGCGTGAGTGCCGACACACACACACACACACACACACACACACACACACACACACACACACACACACACACACACACACACGTTATATATTATCTATGATTAAATTATGGTCTATGCCGTCCTGCTCTAGATTCTCTCTTTAGCTCGCCATGATATTGAACATACATAACACCTCTTGTAAATTAAATAAAATACAACATAAAACGATAAATTAACAGTAGCCTTATGTCATAAGAACCTAAGAACATGCACGTACACGTACATACATACATACACATAATACAAATTTGTAACTTTCGCATGTATAATATTATAACATAACACCACCAGCGCCGGCGCCGAGCCCCGAGAACGGCTGCGACACGAAGCTGTTCGAGCTGGCGCGCTCCGTGCACTGGATAGTGGACGACGACGGGCTCGCCGCCGTGCACACCAAGGTATGACGGGACATCACATGTCATCTGAACTGTGGCTTGTCCTGCTAGATACCTTATTTAATTATTGATTTGTTTTAATTTAATTGCGATATTTGCCAAAGAAAATTTACTTCTACTGTTAGTGAATTGCATACACACACTTTTAATTATGTTTATTATATAATATAATGTTTGGTGTCGGCAGAGCCGGCGGCGGCGCGCGGGCGACGACTCGGACTCGGACTCGTGCGGCGCGCCGCCGCTCAACGACGTGTACCGCGCGCGCCAGCAGCGCCGCGTCAAGTAGCGCGCCGCGCCCCCACCTGTATTATATATATAGAGAACTGCTCCGAATATACGTGTTTTTATCTATCACTTGTTTTATTTTTATACCTAAATATATTATGTATAGAAAAGGCTTATATAACAATTGTATTTTTAAATGATACTTTAAGTTAAACTAACAAACCCGACCGCGTTGTTCTTTCCGAAGGTAAGCTTTTCGTTTAAATGGCATAATTGATTTCGATAACAAAACAAATACCTAAAGACAGACAAAAATATCATCAAAATCTGTCCATCCCTAAAGAAGACATTCAGTGACTTCTCTTAAATAGAAAAAAAATATTTATATGTCCGGACACGATATCTGTAAGGTTCGCTAGAAATAAAAAAATCTAGAACCCGACTATAGCGCCACCTACCGAAGTCAGTTGTGAATCTAAACCCCAGGGAACCTCAAACACGCACAAAAAAATTCACCAAAACTGATCCGGCAGTTTAAAGAGTTCAGTGACACACACGTACAGAAGAATTATATAAATAAAGAAGACAAGCAAAACACAAAAAACATTATTTTTATTTATTTAATAATATTGTATTCAAGTACCGCCATCTTTTGGCAAGTTTTATTACCAATACTAGTATATGTTACTGCAAATCTACCTTTCTGTGCGTGTGTGTGCGAGTTTCTGTATACTAGATGTAAAAATATATTTAAAATCTCACTTGTAAAAACAATACTTGCTGATTGTAAAAAATTGTAAAAAAATGTGTGCTGTCGTGATAAGAGCTATAAAATATCTTAGAGGTGTATATCTTTCATAGTGTATGAAAACTGTTTGTGAAAGAAAATGCAAAAAACGGTTTATTGAACAAAAAAGATGAGCGAAGTATCGTCATCACAACATAAGTCATAATCTATAAAAACAAAAATAAAATGCTTTTCGTTGGTGGTGCATCACTTGAGAACGGCGGCAGAGGTTTACCTATTTTTTCCTTAGGATTTTTCCAAACAACATTTTTGAATTAAGACAGGTTGATATATCTCGGGTCAGTTAGTATTAGTGATGTAACATGAAAACAAACTTATTATAGTATTCTTTTTTTCCTAACTTTAGTTTTGTTTTCAGAAAATGAATCTATAGGAAATTAAATGTTTTATTGATGTATGTTTTCTAATTTCATACATTTTACTATAATAACAAATAAAATGAAGTATAAAAATTAATTAAATAAAAATTTATTCTTCCTCTGTGTCAAGTCAGTACCACTTTCAGTATCAGTGCCTACTCTAGTCTCGTACTTGTCAGTGTCGGAATTTCCACATGTAAGCTTGGTACTATTCAACCAAAAAAGTATGGTAGGTTTAAAAATAAATAAAAAACTCTTTAATGTGAACTCTTAAGATTAATATCTTTTACGGAAACTACCATAATCATTTTGAATTCTGTACTTATGAAAAAAACATGCTCCCCAAAAAAAGTATTTTTTTTTTTCATGTATTTTTTTGTTTTTTTACTATAGAAAAACAATCATTTTTTGCAACACTAAATAGTATATCCATAAAATATATAGTGCTTGATATGTAAGATATGTTAGAACTTAGCTACGTAGTGTACCTACACACGTCTCATAAACGGACTGTACATACGTCGTATGCACTGTGCGCATATTCACTCTGATATATTTAAAAAAAAAACATAAGACTGCTTCAACTTCATACTGATGTAAGCAATGAAAGCAACTTCTAATCTCGGAAAAGAATTCCCACGGGATAGAAGAATATCAAATAATTTTAAGGGAAAAATATTTGGTATACTATTACAACATTTACTATTTACTTTATTTATTACAAATGTACGTTTGTATGTTTGTTACACTTTGACGCTGAAACGGTTGGACTGATTTTGAGAGACACGAGAAGCGAGGATAAGTCATTAATCTATACAGATAAATAAAATTGAAGTGTCTGCTTGTATGTCAAAATAACAGCGTTTTATTAAATGCATATGAAATAATATACGATACATATATTAAAAGCAAAACACAACTTTTAAAATTTTGTTTGTCTGTTTGTTCCGGCTAATCTCCAAAACGGCTGAACCGATTTTGATGGGACTTTCACTGGCTAATGTTATAAAGAGTAACTTAGGTTACTTTTATTTTAAAAAAGGATTAGAATTTCTTTAAAAAAACCTAGGGACGCATTTAGTCACTTGTATGTAATAAAAGTCCAATAAAATTCTTCAAAGCACTATATTATCTAACAATGGAGCTATCGCAAGAGGTGAAACAAAGGAAAGATGGGGGACATTTTAGTTAAACCGATTTTATTTATCATATAATTTATTCGCTTAACTTAACATGTACAATTTATTCTACATTGATCTTAAAAACGGTTTCTGGATTTTGCATTTTTGTCATCATATTAAAAATATGCATATTAAAATACTTATTTAGTGAAAATCTGTTACTCTTTTACATAGTAACAAATTGAACTTTTAAAATAAAAATTGCGACATTATCTATAACAATTCGTAGATAAAAAAACCTGATAAAATACAATAAATAATAAACTTTAACGAAAAAGCGAAAATTATTACGCAACAAATCTTCGATATTCCTTTAAATATCTAATACAAAACCCAGAAACGTCAACCTTTAATAAGATATTATACGCACATATTGACAAATCGACTCACTCTATATATTCTTCTTATGAGAACTTTCTCGATCTTTTTCTTACATAAAATATCCAAAAACGCTATTGTTTTTAATTTTAAATAAAACTATCTTTTCGGAAATTTTCGCAGATTTATTATTTTAATATATTTGTGAGATAGTCTCCCGTGACCATGTGCGCTGTAAAGCATTCAAAATGTCGGTAATAAAAAATCAAAATAAATCCGGCGAAAAAATCCAAACAGATACATAGTTTTATTTAAAATGTCAAAAATTCGCGTAAATCTAAGAAAGTATTATATATTTTTTATATAACAATGTATACTATTATCGATGCGGTTATTATTTCCATTGATGCAAACAGAGCGTGTCATATAAGTTGACTCAAGATGCGCATGCGCATATTAACATATATTTTTAATCAAGTCGAGTCATCAATCAATTGTTACTATATGTATGTATGTCTGTGCGTGTGTCTATCGGTCGATTTCACCAAACACGACGTCCAGCGTGCCGATGATGGCGACGATGTCGGCTAACATTGAGTTCTTGCCGATCTTCTCCAACGCGGCGAGATGAGCGAAGCCCGGCGCCTTGATTTTGCACCTGTGGAGTTTTTGGGTTATAATTATTATTTAATCTGTATTTTATATTAGCGATTTACTATTGCTACACTCGAGTTCGTCCCGTGGTTCTTTATCTAAAATAAAAGTAGCCAAGTTACTATTTTTAACAGCTATCCAGCTATCAAAATCAGTCCAGCCGTTTCAGAGATTAGTCGGTACAAACAGACAGACAATCCGACAGAAATTTTAAAAATTGTGGTTTTTTTACATGTACTGTACATAATCTCATATGCATTCAGTAAAAAGCTGTTATTTCCACATACAAATAGACTCTTCAATTTTATTTTTCTATACAAATATAAGTATATAAAAATCGATGTGTGTTTCCTATGAACTCCAAAACAGCTGGAGCGATTTTGATGAAATTTTCAGGCAATATTCAGATTAGCCCAGCGGTAGTGGGATTCTATGAAGTTTGGTAGCGATCGGAAGTTTGAACGCAGGCGAAGTCGCGGGTTGTGTTAGTACGGCAATATTTATGTATGTCTGTATGTACATGTACCTGTAGGGCTTGGAGCCGCCGTCGGACACGAGGTAGACGGCGAACTCGCCCTTGGGCGCCTCCACGGTGGTGTAGGTGGCGCCCGGCGGCACGGCGTAGCCCTGCGTGAACAGCTTGAAGTGGTGGATCAGCGCCTCCATCGACGTCTGCAATTAATACATATTATATATCAATTATTATATTATTATGTAAACTGCTTCGGTGTAGTGGCTAGTATGTATGCACATCTAAAGGTCCTGAGTTCGAGTTCGGTTAATTAATGAGTTTTTTTGTTGAGATATTTTTGAAGTAATATGTACTTTTTTTGGCACGTTTGGAAAAAAACGACACACCGACAAACAAACAGAAATTTGTGACATACGGGATGCAATCTTTAGCTATTTTTGTTCTGTTACACCAAAGAAGTACAACTTCTTAAGTGCGTACATAAGTACACAAACACGTTTTCTATTGAGATATTCTCAGTAACAGCCCGGAGTTGAAAAGTTGGCAGTGTTTCACCCCCGTGCCTCGGATAGCACGTAAAGCGGTCCTGCGCCGTAACTGTCCCTGGTCATGTCAAATAGACATGACTAGTATAAAGAAACTAGACAGAAATTATCCCATCGGAGTGTGAAAGTGACAGGAATAGAGAGTGTACGTCGTGCGTCTCCCTCGCACGGCGCCCTGTCCCGCTCCCACCTTCATCTCGTCGCGGGAGGGCGGCGTGAGCTTGGCGTCGTCGGTCTTGACCTCGCCGGCGGGCATCTGGTTGAGGCACTGGTCGATGATGCGCAGCGACTGGCACATCTCCTCCACGCGGATCAGGTATCTGGATCGTTACATCGTTATTTGTTAAAGGAAAAGAGTAAATTTTATTTTGTTTGAGAGCTTTTTTTTGGAAATATTTTATGCAAAACAATATCATTTCTCGAAATGGATGACCAGTTTTAGCCAACTACAAAAAGTGAGGATATCCTTCACTATTTAGATAACATCCATTAGAAGACACTATTTCCTCCGTTTTCTCTCTCTAGTGTTAAACAAAGCAAAGAGTTCCGAACGAGAATTCTCTCCATTTTCTCCTCCTACCACAACGCACCTGTCGTAGCAGTCCCCGTTGGTGCCGATGGGCACGTCGAAGTCCACGAGGTGGTAGGCGTCGTAGGGCTGGCTCTTGCGTAGGTCCCACTTGATGCCGGACCCTCGCAGCATCACACCGCTGGAATGCATTAATAACATCTATTTTACATGAAAACGTTTTAAAGTAAAACTTGTTTAGGCGTGACTGAAAGGTAAGTCGATACATTGAAAAAGTGAGTGTGGCGGTAATAGGATGTGGCGGGAATATTCAAAAGTCATATTAGTATATGGTGATTATAATAAATGATAATATTTATAGAAATAAATATTCATTGTTAGTAATTTCATTAAAAAAATATTAATATAAATTATTAATAAATATTTATTATTAATAAATATTTATTATTAATAAATTTATAAAAATAAAATTTATAATAATAATTTTTTTTTTGGAAATTCGACCCCAGAAAAAGGTATGCAATGGCATCATTTTTCTTTCTTTTACCAGTAATGAAACTCGGATAATAATTACAACTCTATGAAAGAAACCTGTTAAAGAATATACTAGCTCGGTAAACCGTAACTAAACACATACAAGGGTTGCTAAAAGATACAATGTTGAAAAAAATTAAAAATGATACCACAGATCCATACAAGAGGTTGCATTATCCTTTCTATAATAAAAGCTGTATTTAATAAAATCTGTTATTTTTAAAACGAACACCTTACCTGAATCCATAATTCAAGGCATCCTGAGCGGTCATCACCCCCACATCCTTGGTCCTCTGCACCCAGATCCTATTTGTTGTGAGCACATCTTCCACCTCGTCCAACCGCTCAGAGAATTTGCTGGCAAACTCGTGTATATCGTCCATTAACCCCAGTGGCATGTCCTGTGGGTGGTTATTTGTTCTATTAGTAAGTACTTTTTAAACTGCCTCCGTGGTGTAGTGGCTAGCATGTACGGCTGCACACCCGGAGGTCCTGGGTTCGAGTCCCGGGTCGGGCCAAGTTTAGTTATTGAGTCTTTCTGTATAAGTAAGCCTCAGTAACAGCCCGGAGTTGGGAAGTTGGCGGTGTTTCACCCCCGTGCCTCGGAGAGCACGTAAAGCCGTCGGTCCTGCGCCTTTACTCTCACCGGTCGTGTCGAGCAGTCGTCCCACCGGAATATGAGAGTGATAGGAATAGAGAGTGCACTTGTGTCTGCGCGTACACTTGTGCACTATAATATCTCCTGCGCAGTTGGCTAGTCTCAATGAGATTGGCCGCCGTGGCCGGAATCGGTCGGGAGAACATCATCAAGTACTTTTGACTGAGTTTCGAAGAAAGAGGTACTCAATTCACTTGTATTTTTACTTTTTTTTGTGTATGTAACATGTTATCATTTGCCATTTAAAGTTCTTTATTTAATGAATATATACCGTTTACTTAAATTGCATCTCTTATCGATATCCCATCCCATAAATATTATAAATGCAAAAGTTTGTATGGATGGATGTTTGTTACTCGATCACGCCAGAACGGCGACATCTGGATGAAATTTGACACGGAGATAGATTATAGTCTGGAATAGCACATAGGTTACTTTTTAATGCGGAAAAATGCACGGTTCCCGTGGGATAGATTTGTTTTTTTTCCCTAGTGAAACTAAGACGGACGAGACTTAACACGAAGGACGCGAGGGTGAGTTGCTAGTAAATAATGTAATTCAAATGTCCTTACCAAATAAACACCACCAGGTCTTATATAGGCAGCGTGCATTCTAGCACCACTGACTCTCTCATAGAACTCCATCATCTTCTCTCTCTCTTCGAACAGCCAGAAGAAGGGAGTGAGAGCTCCCACGTCCAGAGCGTGGGTGCCCACCGCCATGATGTGATTGAGGATACGAGTGATCTCAGCGAACAGAGCTGGAAAGATTTCCAGATAAGAAACACGAGAGATCTTCCCATATTAATAGAGTTTATTTTTGAGTGGAGTATGTAAAAGGTATCCATTAATCACGTAAGCTGTTTTTCTTTCAATTTAGAGCGAAGGCAGGAGTCCCTTCCTTTGGTGAGATTAAATGAGATTTGGTTCATGCCTTTCCCTTCATGTTAGATTTACACTACAGTTGTTAAAAAACTACATTTATTTTCATAAATTATAAAAATAATACAACATTTAGGTATTTTTTCAGAGGGCAAAATAGGAGACTTCAAAAGAAACTAAAGAAAGGAAAGAAGAAGGGTTGTTTAGATACTGATATCATATAAATATCTGGTATCATATAAATATCAGTTACATACTGGTATCATATGGATATCATATAAATAGCTATGTACTTGACAAAACATAATTACTTTGAAATCACAGACAAACACTCCAATATAATATGTATAGATCATTTTTTACCACTTACTTCTAATATACTTAGCTCTCAATGGAATGTCAATATTCAACAATTTCTCCACCGCCAAACTGTAGCATTGTTCATTACACATCATGGACACATAGTCGAGACGGTCAAAGTATGGCAAAGCCTGGGTATATGTCTTGTATTCGATCAGCTTTTCTGTGCCTCGGTGAAGGAGGCCAATATGGGGGTCTGCTCCACGGACCGTCTGTGTAATTAAAATATGAAGTCTAGAGGTATACTTTTAAATTGATTCAAATGTCAAAAGCCCATTTTCCAAATGCTTTTTCTTATTTTAAGGTACTAAGAGATCCAATTATTTATGTAATTGTATCGATCAAAAATATATTAATGTATCACTTAGATACTTTGTCACCTACACTTTTAAGTTGTGATCAATTATAAACATAAAAATTGATATAAATATGAGTATATGTGCATTATAAACAGGCAGTGGTTGGGTGAGATGCTAGTCTGATATCTATTTATCTGTTTAAATTATTATAACTTTAAATGTTATATTGATATGAAACTTTCAAAATTACCTCTCCCTCTAGTTCAAGCACTAATCGTAGCACACCATGAGCAGCTGGATGCTGAGGTCCAAAATTGAGCACCATGTTTTTGACCTGCTTTTCAGTTGGAGCTATAATGCCTGTTGAAATAAATGATTTGTAATTATATTATTACTAGCGACTCACCCTCGCTTCGCTTGAGTTCATCCCTAGGTCCGTTTTAATTTTTTTGAGCATAACCCTGATTCTTTTTCTAAAATAAAAGTAGCCTATCTTACTCCCTATAACATCAGCTATCTTCCAATGAAAGTTCCGTCAAAATCAGTCTAGATGTTTCAGCGATTAACCGGACACACAGACAGACAAAAATTTAGCAAATTGTGCTTTTTAAGTACTGGGCGGCCGTTTAGAATTGGGGACTTGGCCCCTAGCGGAGTGGGTGGTATTTCTGGATAAGGGACGTGATAGGGAGTCGAAATGTTAAATAAAAATTGTCCGCGAACGTATGAGTAAAAAGTTATTGAGACTTAAAGTTACAACATTTCCATACATTATTTTGACATTACTACCATTTAGACACTTGGAGTCAAAACGTCACTTTCAATTGTCAAAATGATCTCCAGATGATTGTCTTTATTTGTACTTTGCGTGAAATTCGAATTTTCTAGTTTTCTAGTCATTTATGGCACTCGCCGGCCGCTACCGCGGCACGCTCGCTTCGCTCGCTCGGCTCGTGCGTTGTGGCAACTGTTCTAACCTAACCTAACCAAGATATGAGGAATAATAAATAAATAATCTTAAATGTTCTAACCTAACCTAACCCAGATATGAGGAATAATAAATAAATAAATAATCTTAAATGTTCTAACCTAACCTAACCCAGATATGAGGAATAATAAATAAATTATCTTAAATGTTCTAACCTAACCTAACCCAGATATGAGGAATAATAAATAAATAATCTTAAATGTTCTTACCTAACCTAACCAAGATATGACGAATAATAAATAAATAACCTATGTCTTAAACTAACCACGATGTCGCAAAATAAAAACCAAAAGTAAATAATACATTTAGATTTTAAAAATAGTCTACTCACGTTTATAAATTGTTTACACTAACACTATGAACACTTAAAACTATAAAAATAATATTAAAACAAAAACAAGAAACGAAAGTATAAAAAAATTAACAAAAACTAATAACTAATGGAAAATACACAGAGTACAGAGTCACAAATTATGAAACTTCGCGGTATTTTAAGAATACCCGCCAATAATACTGAAAAATATTCACAGATAAAAAAATGTTTTTATTTTACTAAATGTACAATTGTAAAACAATATATTTTACATAAATCAGATAAAAAATCATAAATGTATTTATGAAATGAAAATAATATTTTTCTTTTTATTTATTTATTAATATTAATATTTTACCAACAGAAAAAGCAAAAATAATCAAATATAATCTGTTGTCATTTAAGCGGTAATATAAAACAAAGTGTCAGTTTTGCTTTTGTCAAAATGTAAGATCATTTTGTTTGTGTTGTGAAATTATTAAAATATTAAATACAATAAAGCATTAATTGTTGTGAAAATGTGTAATGTACATAAAAAAGGATGCGTACTATTCGTTAAAGGTATGTTTATCTGTTGTAATCACTTATTTAGGTAAAGAAATGTATGGAAATGTGTTAGATATGTTATAACTTTAAGTCTCAATAACTTTTTACTCGTACGTTTCCTCCAAATATTTTTAATATATTTTTAATATATTTTTAATATATTTTCTGTCACCTCCCCTATCTAAAAATACCACCCACTCCGAATGGTGGTAAAGAAATATATGAAAATGTATGGAAATGTTGTAACTTTAAGTCTCAATAACTTTTTACTCATACGTTCGCGGACAATTTTTATTTAACATTTCGACTCCCTATCACGTCCCTTATCCAGAAATACCACCCACTCCGCTAGGGGCCAAGTCCCCAATTCTGAATTTGTGCCAAGTACTGTATATAATTTCATATGAATTTAGTAAAATACTGTTATTTTAACATTACAAACAGACCCTACAATTTTATTTATCTGTATAGAATAAAATGGTAAAACAAATTATGTAATGCTAATTACAAACACTTTAATAAGTAATAAAATTATAATTTTAGATTTATTCAGGTAATTGTTTATTTTTAGAATCTTTCAGGTGAACTATAGGTATAGTAACTTACTGTTATAAGGTGGGTGCTTTAAGAGAGCGGTGACACCTTCGGGATACATAACAGCCCCCTCGAACTGTTTTACGAAAGTTACATCGGGCATCCATCTATGAGCTTTACGTTGTGAGCTGAAAAGATTTACTAGAATACACAAGATGTAATTTTATATTTTTTTTTTGGTAATGTGGTAAAATCAAACTATTTTTTGTATCGTAATAATACTAAAAATATTTGTTAACCTACAATAAAAGCCAAATTAATATAATTTAATCAGCAAAACACGGAAAATGGAAATTGCGTATGATAACCTTAAATGTTACATAATTTTTTAAGTCTCTTTCCATATGAATTAAGAATAATATTTTGTTTTTTATAAATAAAACACTCACTTCACATTGTAAACTGCCGGTAAATTTACAAGTAAGGCTTTAGAATTACTTAAATTATGGCTTTTTCGCAGCAAAACATTCACCAACGAAGCCATTTTCGAAGGAACTGAGTTCCGTTTCATCAAAATACAAAAACAAATTTTTGACTATGCAATAATAACAGTAAAAAAAAGGTATTAAATAAACTAATGTATACTTAAATTTATCAAAAATTACGGTTATTATTCATAATAATCAACTGTTACTGTACAATATATGTTGTAATTAAATTAAAATACAAATTCGGTTATTCTAAGAAGCTAACAACCGTGAAACGGCAAATCTTGCAGTTCCTTGTAATTGACAGACGTCAATTTGACAGTAAATTAGCTGCGTTCATTAATAAATTCCATTTTTAGATTCAATTAAGCATTTATTATATAAGAAACACATAATACCTAGATTTTTATAGTAATATAAAATGTGTAAGCAATTAGCTAAAACTTTAACGTACAGAACTTTTAGTTTTATTTAATTATAAAAAAATTTTCTTTGAAAACTAGAAGTTATATCTTTATTTCGACGTTATTGCTTTATTATTTCTCTCACAAAACTTTGGAAACGCTTTATATTGAATGTTTAAAGGATCATTTGTACCTCATGTCCATGGAATATTTTTTTTTGATATTTTATATTGATTTAATTATTTAAATTATAAAATCACCACTCGTCAGTGTAGCAACACCAGTAGCTTCTCTTCAATCTCCATCCTCTGCTGTCTGCCGTCTGTTGTTAGTGTATATTTTATATCTAACTAGCTGTTTTAACTTTATTCAATAAAATCTTTCTCCACGACCACTTCAGTATCATAAAGTTAGTCGTCGCGAGTGCTGCTAGGTGCTTCAGTTATATAAACGTTTAAGAATGAACTTATTTATGTTCCATGTCTTACAGATTTATGTTTAATTAATAATCGGTTGATGAACTAGTTACTTTTAACATGTGATTATTTATGTAAATAATTAATTATAATAACGCACAAAATGGACGTGAAAGTTTTTAATCGTGGGTGTGATGTGATGTGATTCGCTGGTGCAGTTCCACGGGATTCTTTTGCCTATGTTTTTTTTTTGTTTGATCGAGCGATCGTTGACGTCTGAGCACTTGTCTTAGCCGCACTTGCTCTAACTAAAAGTAAGTCTTATTTTACATTTCGGTATAAATTATTATGAAACTAATAGTACAATATAAATTTATGGCGTTTTTAATTACCAGTGGCAATGGTAAGCCGCACATCTGCCTCCAACATGGTGCGTGAGTCATCCTAATAAACTTTTCATTTTATTGTTTTTGTTTACGATACAAATGATAATTTCGCGCGGCTCTGGTACGTTGCAAATTAGTGTCAATTAACACAATTACGTACATAAAAGTTTGTTTGTCGGCGCTGAATACATTATGTAAAAAATGTGAGTAAGACATAAAGTATTCACTCATGTCTCATACATTGCACTCACAACATAAATTATTGATGAAGCACACTTAATATTTATCATAAGCAAATGGCTTATCACCAAAAGATCTTTATAAGTCCATATTTAGGACAAATAGTGTTAATTATAAAGTCAACAATTCACTTAATGAATAAAATTAACTGTATTTTATATGATAATGTGACTTAATGCGAATATGAAATATTTTTTTATATATATAGTGATTTGGTGTTAAGTTTAATTTGAATAAAGAAAAGTTGTTTTATTTAAGTTTTAATTAGCTTTTAGAGGTTACTTATTAAATCTACTCACATCATTTTATTCATTAATGTATTATTTATGACTAATTTAAATAAAATTGACAAGTTTTTGATATCTTTATTTATATTATGTTCATTTTTATTATATACAAAGTATTAAATTTTTAAGTTAAGTCTGTCATATCTTCTGTTCACATTTTAAACTGTAAAAGGATATCTCATAAGCACTTTATTATATAAGATAGAGGAAAACACAATAATAATTTACATAATAAAATAATCATTTAATAACTCTTCAAGAAGAAAATATAAAATTAAACAATATAATATCTTGTAGATTTAAAACTAATTGTATAATCTGGTCATCTTCCTGACAGATTTTGGTGGCCAATCTCCCTGAGACTAGCCAGATGCAAATAATGTATGTGCAGACACAATTGCACTCTCTATTCCTTTTACTTTCATAGTCTGATCAGACTATACTTCGAGACGACTGGTGACAGAGATACGACAGAACGAACGGCTTCACATGCTCCCCAAGGCACGGGGGTGGAACACCACCAACTTCCTAACTCCGGGTTTTTCTGAGAATTTCTTGACAGAAAAATTAAGTACTAAACTTAGCCCGACCCGAAAATCGAACCCAGGACCTCGGGATTTGTGGCCGTATATGCTAGGCCGTATATGGTATATGCTAGACTATGAAGGCAGTCAACAAATTATGTAATTTTGTCTCATCTAATTTTATGCGATGTCTAAAGTGACATATACTTATGTGCTGGTTGTATGATATATAATATAATATAAATATATATAAATGTGAATATTTGTGAGTATGGATGTTTGTTACTCTTCCACGCCAGAACGACTGAACGGATCAGGATGAAATTTGGCACAGAGATAGATTATAGTCTGGAATAACACCTAGATTACTTTTTATCCCAGAAAAATATACGGTTCCCGTGGGATAGTTTTGTTTTCGCTTCAACTAATGAATCTCAAATTATCAACTATGACTTGCACATCACCTTATTAAACATCAAAATAACGACTTGCAAAATTTTTTATGCAATTATGTCAATAAATTATAATAACTTCAAAAATAATTAATCTGTTTAGTAATTCACAAGTTACATACATTTTGATTTATACTAAAAAAAACTAGGGACTTACCCTCACTTCGCTCAGATACATTTTATTGAACACAACCTAATTCTTTTTCTAAAATAAAGTAGCCTATGTTACTCCAGATAACATCAACTATCTGTCAGAGAAAATACCGTTAAAATCAGTCCAGTCGTTTAGGAGATCAACCGGAACAAACAGAGGTTTTTTCTTAAAATTACAGTATATCATTTCATATGCATGTAGTAAAAAGCTGTTATTTTGCAATTACATGCAGACACTTCTGTTTTATTTATATGTATATACTTACATATTTTTAAACAATAGTCATATTACAGTTCATTTCAGTAAAAGAATTTGAAAGTGACACAGTGGGAAAATAATGTTGTAATATATTAATTATAAGATGAGAAAATGAAAGTATATTGTCACTAACTTTTATGTGTTTAATTTATTGTCCTTACTTACATCCATACTAATATTATAAATGTGAAAGTGTGTTTGTTTGTTTGTTTGTCCTTCTTTCACGTCGAAACGGAGTGACGGATTGTCGTAATTTTTTGTGAGGAGATAGTTGGAGGGGTAGAGAGTGACATAGGCTACTTTTTATTGCGGGTGATCATCTCATTGCCGCGGGAAAACACGTTAAAATACAATTCAAAAAAATATGATCAGAATAATTTGAAATTTGGTATTAATGATCTTCAATAAAATTAAATAAATACGTGTTTGAGCACTTTTCGAAATTTATCCTAAAAATAGGTAAAGTAGGGGATGAAAGTTTGTATGAAACTACCTTTTAAGAGATTTTTTTGTAGTTTTATCGCGAGCGAATCTGCGGGTTCTGCTAGTTATATATATTTTTCACATCGAAATATTAGGGACGAGTTGATGTGACATTTTGAACGTACAGTAGTTTATGAATTGATAGTGATTAATGTAGGATTGCCATATTTCTTGATTTAATTGGGATTAGGTGTCCTGATTTCAGACTCATAGGAATCAAATTTAATTATGTACTAAAATATTCCAATAGATAATGTCCGTTCAGCCGCAACAGTTTACAGCAACCCAACTGATTATAGTCAAAAAAGACTGATGGCAGATCCAAAACATAAAACATAAATCCCACCATGAAATTCTTACATAAAATATTTTCTACATGGTAAAATTATTAGAACTGAAAGAAATTGTTTGTTGCCTTATTAAATAATGTAAATGAATCTTGTTGATTTAAATGAAGCTATATTGGTATATATAATAAATCTCAGCTTCGTTGTGGCTAAGTGCGTTAGTGATCCTGCGACGGATCCCATTAAGACGGGGAAGGTTCTGTTGGATTCTAGTGGATAGTACCAGATAGAGGAATTATCTAGAAACTTTGTATGGTATAATTTGTGATCATATTTGGAAAAAATCGATTTTTTCTTCCGGTGCACTTTTAACTTCTTTTTGTAAGCCACCAAGTTAGTTCAGTTATATAGTACTAAGTCGATCGAGTTTCGCACTTTTGGATAGCGTTTTTCGGCTATAGATAAACTTAAAAAGCAAAACCTTATCTAAATACAAAATATAATCCAAATCGTTTGGGTTGTATCTAATTGCGCAAAGACATACTTTGCTAAACAAATTTTAATTGCCGTAAAACATTTTTTATTTAATATAAAATACATATTAAGTAAGTATATAGGTAAAATAAAAAAAAATGTACTAAAAAAACCCAATGTTTTTGCAATCTTTAAAAGAAAACTGCAATCATAACAGGTTACAGTTAACCTGTTAATTGGTTAAGTATATAAATATTTATAAGAAAAATACACAAGCAAAAATTTGTCTTCATATCAAACAAAGGAAGTTCAAGTTAGTGGGGTAGATGTTTCTGAGTGGAGTCTTTAAGCCGCAAGGACTATTTAAACACTCAAACACTCCATCTGTCTGTCAACACTTTACTTCCACTGCAAATTTGCGAGGAAAACTGCTGTTTACTTTATATTATGCCACTGCAATGGTTTGAAACGTTTTCTTATGCTGTAATAATTACAATATTAACGAAAAATTGTAATGATAATGACGATATTTTTGTATATAAAAATTCGGCTTCGTTCGCGCTAAAACTACAAAAAGAAAAAACTAAAAAGGTAGGTTTCATACAAACTTTTATCCCCTATTTTACCCCCTTTATAGAAAAATGCTAAAACACGTGTTTATTTAATTAATTGTATTGATGAGTATTTATTA